ATTCAAAGATGAGTAAGCAAATAAACCAGCATAGGAACAGCACAAAGACACGAACAGAAAAAGAAGGAAAAACAAATGGCAGGTGAAGAATACTCACCCAAATATGGTGACGTGAAGCTTATGAATATGAAGATAATGTTTAGGCATGATTTTTAAAACAACATGTAACCAAGCACAAAGAAGAGAAATAAGAGCTCAGACTAAGAAATGAAAGACAACAAGAGAGGAAACCTGAGTTGGTAGAGCTCAAGAAGTTAAAAGCAATTAAAGCCACCACAGAAATGAAGGCAAAACTGGCAGTAGCACAAAGGAGAACAGATGCTGTTGAAAACACAGTATGGGACATGGAGGTCAGGAAGAAAAAAGGAATGAAAGTAAAGAGTTGGGGTTTTTTTTTGTTGGTTTTAAAGGTTTTTTGTTGTTGTTGTTGTTGTTTTTAAATTTTTTATTGGGGAACAGTGTGTTTTTCCAGAACCCATCAGCTCCAAGTCAAGTAGTTGTCTTCAATCTAGTTGTGGAGGGTGCAACGGCTTGGCCCATGTGGGGATCACATTGGCAACTTTGGTGTGATGAGCCTGTGCTCTAACCACCTGAGCTAACCAGCCGCCCCAAAAGTTGTTTTTCAATGGAGAAAATAATAGTTATGGAAAACAGGAAAGGAGATTCCCACATAAACAAAATTACAACCCTCAAGAAACTAAAATGATGGAACAGAACAGACATCTAAAAATATAATTCAGGAACACCCCACCACCATGAAGACTTAAATTTGTAGTTTGAAAGCACCAGAAAAAATTGGCAAGGGAAAGTCAACACTGAGATATAACTTTTAAGTTAGCTAATAACTTAAGATAACTTAATAACTTAATTCTCTTAAGAATTAAGAGAAATTAGGGAAGCAGTTATAATTATGTCTTGGGGGCAACTGTAATTATAAAAGTAACCCCTAGACCAAAATTACAAACCATCCTACATATTATAAGTACACACAAAAACAAAGCAAATAAATCATATACTGAAATACTTAAATGTAAATATACAAAATGGAAAATATAACAGCATTCAGACCAAACATAACTGCCACATCAATACATTTAAATGAGTTTAACCCATCTATTAAAAAGAAATCAACACACCTAAAACAAAGTACGGTAAAACCTTGGCTTGCGAGTAACTTGGTTTGCGAGTAACTTGGTTTGCGAGTGTTCCGTAAGACAAGCAAACATTTCTAACACATTTTAATGTGGTAAACGAGCGATGTCTTGCAATACAAGTATGTAGTTTGTTTCCATAACAAATTATGCTTGCAAACCAAGGTATTACTGTATTTAGAAAGGTTGAAACAAAAAAGACAGGCAAAGGTACCAGACGCAAATGCAAACAAAAGGTAAAGAGGAAGTGTGACCTTTATATCTGAATCAAGAGGACTCAAGCCAAAAAAAGCCTCTAATATAAGAATAGAG